TTGTTCAAAGCGATGGTGATATAGATGGGGATGTTAATAGTAGAATTCAAGTTGGTTGGTTGAAGTGGAGGAATGCTTTGGGCCTTTTGTGTGATAGAAAAGTACCGCTAAGACTGAAAGGAAAATTTTATAAGATGGTGGTGAGACCTGCAATGCTCTATGGCGCTGAAGGTTGGCCTTTAAAAGCGAAGCATAATAATAAGTTAAGTGTTGCCGAGATGAGAATGATTAGGTGGATGAGTGGCTTTACACTTAGAGACAAAATGCGGAATGAATATATTCGTGATAGGGTTGGTGTAGCTCCTGTGACAGACAAAATTAGAGAAAGTCGTCTTAGATGGTTTGGTCATATTAAACGTCGACCATTAGATGTCCGATTAGGAGAGTAGATGTTTTAAATTCGACTTGTGTTAAGAAAGGCAGAGGTAGACCTAGAAAGACTTGAGCTTATTGTATTAAAAAAGATCTTAATTTACTAGAACTAAATGAAAATATGACACTAAATAGGACGCAATGGAGAAAAAGGATTCATGTAGCCGACCCCACGTAGTGGGATTAAGGCTTTGTTGTTGTTGTTGTTGTTGTTGTTGTGTTGTTGTCCTTTGTCATTAGACATAAAATTGTTTTAATGATCTATTGGATAATTGAATTTATGAAACGAATTAATTCCAGAAATGTAAAAGGTTTCTTCCCACTTCTATCTGAAAGATTTCAACCTATTAGTGTGAGCAACAACTTTCCTCCTCGTAGGTAGTTAACCGCACTCTAATCTAAATCAAATTAAGCATTCTCCTTATAAAATCTGATCAAAATAGTTTACAAAAGTCAGGACAACATAAGGTAAATATCAAACGAAAAGATATCAATCAGAAATCCATTTTGCAATTGGCATCTTGTGCGCCAGGACAGAAATGGTGTACATGGTCAAAGAATGAATGAGATGTGCACTTTTCAACATCTAACATGCCTGTATTGTAAGGGTAAAAGAAGAATATTACTAATATGATTTTTTTTATTTTCTAGAATCGCTCGGAAGTCAAGTACTAAGACCAGTTAGAGCCTATCATCAGTAACTTTGGCACAGATATCAAAAAAAGGATGACTTTAGCAACAATAGGAGTGCCAACTTCTGTTTCAAAGATTATGAAGCTAAATCTAACAACTAAATTTGTTACAACAAATAAAAATAAAAAAAAAGGAACATACCTGAAAGCTCCACAAGAATCTTTCATTTGCATCAAAAACTTGTGCACTGCCTCTCTAACCATAGTAGGAATCATGAGGTCAAACATCTAAGAAAATATAAAACATCAACACAATAAGATGATGATTTAGGGAAAAAAAATACCTGTTCATTGAAAGAAGAGCTGTATCACTTCCCAGAGTAACAAGTGTGTTCACTGCAGCATATGTTGTTGCAAGATGAGGCAACTGCACTGAGTAGAACCATAGTCAAAATTCATTTTGCAAGCCATCTTCGCCTAATGGTTGAAAGCTTTGACATTTAACCGAGAGGTGTAGGGTTCAACGTCTTGCATATGTGGGGTGCATGCATTTGCGTGTGTGGAAAGATAAAAAAGCCATAGTGCGAATAAGTGAACTCAAACAGAGCATCAAATTCCTAAAAATAGTATGCCACAACCGATGTTATGGCTCAAAATTACATTAATCCAAAATAATATACTCCCGAAGACAAAATATATATATATTTGCAAGTCAAACTCTTCATTTTGTAAAGATGCAAAGTAGACTGCTTTACTGAATTACCAATGTTAAATCTGAAGGATATCAGTCAGAGACTCTTCTAGAACAATATCAAGCTTTCAAAGAGATTAAAACCTACCCTCCACAACGAGAAATCTGTTGAAGTAACACTTCAACAACAACAAAAACAAAGCCTTAATCCCACTACGTGGGGTCGGCTACATGAATCCTTTTTCTCCATTGCGTCCTATTTAGTGTCATATTGTCAGTCCTATTTAATGTCATATTTTCATTTAGTTCTAATAAATTAAGATCACTTTTTATACAAGAAGCCCAAGTCTTCCTAGATCTACCTCTGGTTTTCTTAATATAAGTCGAATATAAAACATCTACTCTCCTAATTGGATCATCAGATGGTCGACGTTATCATAGTCATTGCCGGTCCCAAAAACGTTTTGAGACATTAGATTGAAATATAATGGAGTCAAGGAGGTGACGGCTTTTCCTCTCTGTTACATCATTTTATTGAGAAGTGTTTGTACCTGAGCTATGATGTAGGATGCTCTTACTCGCTAAGAATTCACCCAAAGTAGAGTTGAAAAATTCACGACAATTATCGGCCCGAAGGACCTAAATAAGAGTTTTGAATTGAGTTAAAACGAAGGTGCAGAAGTTTTGGAATGTGATAGCAACTTCTGATTTGTCTTTTGAAATATAGACCCACATTATCCGAGTGTGGTCATCAATCAAAGTTAGGAACCACCTTTTATTAGTGTAGCTGGGAGTACGATAAGGTCCTCATAGGTCACTGTAATGATGGACAGAGGAGCAGGAGTGTAAGTGTGGGATAGGTAATGGACCCAATGATGTTTGTCTAACTAACATGTCTCAAAATTGAAATTAGAAGCATTTTTATTAGAAAATACCAAAGAATATAATTTTTTTAAATATTAAAAACTAGGATGACTGAAACAACAATGTAATAACATAATGAGACATTCAATAACTCGAGATAAACTACAACTCCTGAGAGGTGTATCTGTATTTTTCGTGTTCTTCTCTTGAAGTAGTAGAGTCCCCAACAATCCTCTTAACAGTTACAGTCATCTTCCCATAACAACCATCCTTAAAAACACAACCATCAAAAAAGAAGTTAATAACGCAATCAACATCATTCGTCAACTTGCTGACAGATAACAAGTTACATTACAACTGAAAAATATGTAAAAATGACTCTGGAGTTAGATCGGTTGTTAATACAATCAAACATTTACCAGCATTGAAACTACAAGAACTTTGGGTAATTCTGACTGTATCTTTTCCGAATCAATGATAGTAAGTCGAGAAAGCTTGTGAACATCCAGTTATATGCTCAGTGGCTCCCGAATCTATAATCCACAAAAGAGTAATAAACTGTGAAAGCAATAGAAAAAGTACCTTGTCAGACATGGGAGGTCAACGAACCTGAAGAAACTTGATTGGCTCCAAGAAGCTTTATCAATTGCTCCATCTGGGTTTCAGTGATTCGGAGGATTCCAAGATGGTCTGGGTATGAGTCGGTTGAGTCGTACTTGGTTCGGCCGTCGTCGTGAGTCCCTTGACATTAGAGGATTTGGGTGAGGGTTTATATGTCGACTTACCGTGAAATTTTCAACCCATCCCGAGTGTGGTTGGGCTTTTGAGAATAATCACAAATGGGGTGACCGGTTCAACGTGCCATAGACAAGAGTTGAGGACTATTTGAGATCAAGGCAATGATTCAGCTAAAGGAGTAGAAGCGCCAAGTATGACAAGTCTACTGCTTTGTTCCCGACGAATCTTCGTGAAAGCAGCATGAGTGGAAGGAAGAGGATCTTGACCAAGAATACGGCCCCGAGTTTCGTCAAGGTCTTTGTTAAGGCCGATAAGGAATTGGAACATACGATCTTTTCTACAATCTTTTGGAAGAGGGATAAGTCGGTCGGAGAATCCGAAGTAAAGGCGTAGTACTGATTGCATTCCATCCATAATGCAACAAGATCATTATAGTATTGGGTCACGGTCCTTGACCATTGTTTTGCCTCCCGGATCTTTTTAGATACCTCACAGAGTTGACCGGAATTTCCTAAACCGTCCAGGTAGCACCAGCTGAAAGGAGGAACATGTACAAACGACCAATTGTTGTTTTCATAAAGTTGATCAGCCAAGACATGACCATGGAGTTCTCTACTTCCCAAGCTCCATATGTCGGGTTGGTTTTTGGAGGCTAACAAATCATACATATGAGGTGACCAAACTTCTCACGCCCTATAATCAGCAACGAGACCACTTGGGACCATTGGATGAACTTGCTGTCGTTCAACTTATGAGTTTTGATCAAGAAAATCGTGTTGGTTTCCGGTCCTCCTATCTGTACGGGAGTGGAGTTTTGAGTCGATCCACCAGTGGAGTCAAGAACGCCTTTTGAGGGTGATTTATTGAAAGAATCAGCCATAATTCTGACTGAGCCAAATGATATGTTGTTGTGGTTCCGTGTCATCAATAAAACAAGACAAACGACACTGCTACAGAAATTGTAAATAGCAGGAAAATTGCAGGAATCCTTAAACGACAGTACTGCAAGGATGGTAGGTGGCAGGAATTGCAGGTTTCTTTAAACAGACAGTAGAACAAGAGACTCTAGTAGATAGAAACCTGCAGGAATTGTTATGGCGGACCACAAAACTACAGAGATCTGACAGAAAAAGAGCAATTCTACTGTTCACATATGTACAGAAAGAAAAACCAATGTTCTGCAGACAGAAAATAGCAATTCTGCGGACAAGAAGAAGCCAAGAAGCCTTCTTGATTTCCTATTGTTCACAGAAACTTATTTGCTGGACTTGATAGAGGAGGCTGCCGGCTAGGATGAGGGTGTGTAGGAGATGGTTGTTGGAAACGGCCGGAGAGGCCAGGAGTTATTGGATCTAGGGTTAGGCTCTTATACCATGTTGAAATTTGGAATAGACCGAAGCAATTTTATTGATGGAAAAAGGGATATTTAACCTCAATTACAATAAGCACAACAAAGGAAAGAAATAAAACAAAATAAATTAAATAAGAAAGGAATAAAACAAAATAAAGCAAAAAAAGAAATACATAGTAAGAGAATTTAGAGTAAATAGGAAAAAAATAATAAGTAATAATGACTACAGTTCTGATTGTCATTATAAATCTAATACATAACACTCTAACCGTTAATATCACAATTACAATTTTTTAAAAGTGAAAAACATTTTCATGCATAAATTTAAAACACCAAAGTGCTATGTATGTAAATATGAAAGTTTAGCTGTGAGATATGTAAATAGTGAGATTACATAAGAATTGTGTGCTATATATGTAGATTTTCCATTAAATTAATACAATATATCAAATAATGAGCAACATACTAACATCAAAATAAGATTTCATCAAAGTAAGATCATATAAAGCCAAAGCAAGAACATAAAAAATCATAAAAAGCTACAACATTAAAATGATAAATCTCTCGCACTCCTAATTCAACATAAGCAATTAGTCTAAGAAGAAAATTTTTTAATTCAAAATTCACCCCAACTCTCATCATTTAAAAGGTCTTGATAAAATTGCTATATAATTAATTGTTTTCTCTTCTCTCTTATCCTCATTAGTACTAACATCAAAGAAGTAAATTTATTTTCATCCCCCATAAACCATTCATCATCATATGACATATCATTACTACCTAATAGATCCTCATCATCCACCAAAGTTCTTCAAATGTCGATATTTAACCTCTTCTTAAACATACAACAAACTATTGATTTCATCCTTAGGGTAGTCAAGCGACTTCCCTGAGTATGAGCTTATTATGAGTACTCTAATTTTAATCACATATGGATAAAAAAATCTTCGCCGCTAGAGCTGCTGTCATAATAAGAGCTATTATCAACATTTTCATCAAATTGACTTTATGCTAAATTTTTGACATGGGCACTTTCTTTTAAGCAAGAATCTCTTGTTTCATTTTATCAGGTACATTGGTGCATGCTGTAACATTCTTATGAGAACCAAAAAAGTTGTTCTTTCATTTATTATTACAATATTAGCCACTTTATCATAATTGTTGCATTTCAATAAATGCAAGTCATCTTACTACCAACAATTTGCACTTGAATATCATGTTTCCAAATTAGATCTTTTTAATATCCTATTTAACTTTTTAAAAAAACTCTAACCATTTGAAACAAAAAAATTAAAACTAGAAGCTTAATTTAAAATAAAGAAAACTTCATTTAAAATAAAGTATAGAAATGCAAATGATCAAACCAAGAAAATAGTGTATAAAGATAGAAATAAGCTTAAAAGATAAGGAAAAAAATAAGGGATGCAAGCAATAAAAGTAAAGGTAGACCAACAATGTCGACAAAGCAATGGCAGCATCGATGCAGATAGGTCGCGGTGTGGCTTGCTGGTTTCATGCAAGTTCATGCAACTTCTCTTGAGATCCGAGGATCATGATTTTTTTCAAAGGTTTTTTCTTAAAGTTAGTTTAGGTTTAATTTCATTTTTTGTATTAATAATTTAAAATTATTAAATAGCATAAACTTTAAAATTGTAAGGTTACACCACTGAAATAACATTGAGGTTCACCTCACTCCAATGAGGCATACCTCAACTGGAACACGTGAGGCATGCACCTTATTGCATTTCCTATGTGTCTTGAGCTAAGACACATCTCAAATCATGCAACGATAAGCCTTGTTTGCTATCAAAATTGTATTCATCTCTTCCATCTAGTGAATTCACTTCCAAGACCGCCCAAGATAAGTCAACTCATTTTATTCTAGAAGTTATTTTATATGTAAGGATTATGCCCACTGTATATGGTGAATATCAAAGATTAATTGTGTCATAGAGACCTGACGAGTACAATAATTTTGCTCACAAATTTTAATGATAAATATCAAATATATAATTCTCCAACCTAAATTTTTGTCAATGAAAGAGAATGAATCAAAATTGAAAATTCTAATTCATCTTCGTGACGACCGGGCTAATGGGGGCTGAACTAGCTGATCGGTTCAGAGGGACAGTCGGCCCATGGTCTGGGCTAGGTTTGTCATCGAAGGGGAGGAGCCTCCCCCTCCTTACCTATCAAATATTATAAATGTCCTTTGTTTTGCTCGAGATTAGTATTGTTGAGATTTCTATTTGGACAGCCATCGGTGTCCCATTTTTCCTTTCAAGGGTTGTATCTGACAATGAGAAAGTGTTCCAACTGTAACTCATCCAAGATGGTTCCTTCTCCAAGGATTCGAGTGTTATTCTGGCTGAAGCTCAATTCCACAGAGATAATTGTCCTTACCTGACCCCTCTGTAGACATTTCAGCCGTCTCTCTCACTGTTGCCATCCCCGAACGGCCATCCATCTGCTATCCAGTGCCACCAGGCGTCATCCTACCTGCTTCCCTAGCCGCCGACCAGTTCAACCTGCTTGCAACTACTCCCCGCACTGCACTGCCTCCTGCCCCTATTGGTTGTTGCCACCAGCCACTCCTCCGGGCACCGCAATGACTCCAACCACCTGTTGGTTGATATCTAGGTCGTCCTTGCACCGCATTGCCTCCAACCACCTGTTGGTTGTCGTCCACTCGCTCTCCCTGCGTCGCCTTGCCGTCAGCCACATGTATTTTGTTGTTTGGGCTAGGTTTGCGTTGAAGGGGAGGGGCCTCCCCCTCCTTACCTATTAAATATTATAAATGTCCTTTGTTTTGCTCGAGATTAGTATTGTTGAGATTCCTATTTGGACAGTCATCGGCATCCCATTTTTTCCTTTCAAGGGTTGTATTCGACAACGAGAAGGTGTTCCAGCTGTAACTCATCCAAGATGGTTCCTTCTCCAAGGATTCGAGTGGTGTTCTGGTTGAAGCTCAATTCTAAAGAGATATTTGTCCTTACCTGACCACTCCGTAGACATTTCAGCCGTCTCTCTCACTGTTGTCATCTCTAAACGGCCATCCAACTACTATGCAGTGCCACCAGGCGTACCCCTACCTGCTTCCCTAGCAGTCGACCAGTTCAACCTGCTTGCAATTACTCCTCCCTGCACTACACTGCCTCCAACCCCCTATTGGTTGTTGTCACCACCCACTCCTCCCTGCACCGCAATGCCTCCAACCACCTACTGGTTGGTATCCAGCTCCTCCTTGCACCGCACTGCCTCCAGTCACCTGTTGGTTGTCGTCCAGTCGCTCTCCCTAAGTCGCCTTGCCGCCAACCACCTGTATTTTGTTGTTTGGCCCACCTCTCCACCTCAAATCCCCTGCTTTCACTAGCTTTGTCGCAGCACACTACTTGTGTCCTCTCCTTGGGGAGTTTCTAGTGCTTTGTGTTGTTCTTTTCCTATTGTCAAGAGTCATTGTTGTAAACCCTTTTGAATTTCAGCAATAATATTTGTACTTCTATTGTGGTTTGGGTTATCTCTGGTATCATGGTTTGGGTTATCTCTGATGCCACTAAAGATAATATCTTTATTCTCCTATTTCGATATGACATCCTTCATTTGCAAATATTTTAGTTTTGCTCAGCTAATTGATTTCCTACCATTTTCAATATTCTACCATAGCTCCAAAATCAAAACTTCTAGAATTAACTAGAAAAAGAATTTCAAAATTGAAAAATTATGCTTTATTGAAACAAAGATAAGAAATTAGTTGTTCTTTCTCAAATTCATTAATGATAAATTGAAACTTGTAACATTAGGCTAGATCGTTTAGACAATTATAAGAAATTACTTAATTTGGTTATTTCTTGGTTTATAAAGAAAACCCCTGAGGCATGTAAAAATAAGGTATTGAATAATTTAATGGTTGAATAAAAATCCACTCAATTATTATGAATGATATGGATGCAAATTCTTTGAGTGCTTTGCAAGTCTTGTCAACAAATTTTAGGGATGATTCTTCTTGTACATAAATAAGGCCTAAATCTTACAACATAAAATTTCTATATTTTTGTTATTGCACTTTCCTAGAAGTTTTTTTAGTTATTGGAGTATGCACATGATTGAGATTTTGTCAAGTGTAACATGCGCTTGTCTCTTTTTCTTTTTGTGTGAATCCTCGCTATAGAATTCTATAATCATTCTCAGATTTTTAGAGAATTTTCTATTTTTGCAACTTTTAAATTATTGTTTGAAATGAAATAAAACAGTGATTTATAATTTTAGATCAAGGTTGGATAATCTTTGCTTAGCTACAAAGTTGAGAACCTAGAATTGTAAACATTTGTATGTTTCTCTACTCATTCAATGTTAAATTTATATTAAAAAAACCTAGACCGAATGCCAATCTACGCCAACAACCTTCCTCAAATGTGAATGAAATCAGTATTTAAACATTAAAAAAAGAAACAATGGTACGAGCATAGTACAGTAGATCAGACAAAAAAAGCAGGACTTATAGAGCCGTAATGTATAAATGCAGGTACAAATGGTACGCACATGAGAATGATTAAATTTCTTTAAGTGCATTCAATAGAGTATGCAAATTTCCCAATCTTGCAGTGGATTGCTGCTTCATTCACCGTCCATTAAATAATGTAAAATAACTTTTGTAGATAAGAAATTTAATAATAAGGTTATGTCATAAAATTAAATCTGCACCTAGCACTTCGTCAAAGGGCATGCCCCATAAAACAATCTAAACTTAATTTCTAGATAATGTAATTTTTTCTCAAAGCATATAGCAAATATCAAAAAAGTGCAACTTTGGAAATAATAACTGCCACTACCTAATCTACGAGATACCAAAAGTTCAAAAAAAAAAACGATAAATAGTGAAAAAACCTGGCCAGGTCCACCGCCATATCCACCATTTATGTCCTGTGATTACATTAATAATCAGTTGATGGTTATTACAAGAGAAATATTCAACTCATGTGTTTACGTCATAACATATAATGAAAGTGTTCTACAATTCAGAGTTGTTCCCTTAACAATTAAAACTAGAAAATTATATAAAACATATGAAAATAAAAAAAATTATTGAAATTACAAATATTGAAGCACAAAAATCACAAATTAACTTCAAAAATACTAACAACCTTTAGTCAATATGCAACAACAGTAGATATCTAAGTTGAAGTTTACATTAGTTTTTGAAGTTTCATAGTTTATGCAAAATGGACGTTGAAACTGTGACTGTTGTGCACTGTTTCTTTCAAATTATTACTCATTTTCTTGGTCTTCTTGCGGGATTTAGTTAATTCAAACAGGTCCTGTTTTATGTTGGTTGTATTCAATGCTAGCTATCACTAGTTGCCAGTTAGATGTTTCTTTCCTAAATGTTTTATGTTGGAAGTATTCTTGTTGCTTCTCTGACTGTATTCATATAGTTATTTGTTCGATTTCACTAGAGCCAGGCTATCAGGTTATTGACTTGAATTTTTTGTTGCCTATTTTAAGACATGTGAGCACTAATTCCTCTATAGCTGGTAATGGCATAAACTTGTGCAAATTTTGCTGAGGATTAGAAGAATAGAAGTGTTCCACTATATCCAAAATGAAATAAGACTGTACAAACCCTACATAGTATTTAAACGAGTTAAAAAAAAAATTGAAATCTGAGCCTCTATATTTTTATTACAACAGTGAGTTGTTTAAATTTGAACAGTTTGAAAGTGTGTTTCGTTTATTAGTTACACTTTTATTAGCAGTTCTCATTATTCATAGTTTGTTTTAATAATTGTTATTCCAATAGTTATTCACTAAACTGTTTTATCGTATAATATGAGCCACTGTTAATGTTTGATATTCATTCACCTGCTCAATGAGTCAATATCTATGTTCATACAAACCTAAGGTCCGCTGATATCAATAAACCTGCTGTAGAATTTTGTACTACAGATTTTTTACTATAGGATTATGTTGACCTCAATTTTCGTGAGGTCTAGTATTTCTCGCAGGAGTTAGGATCTAGCCTTAGGGGTCTTCCTGCGACTATCTTAGAACCTTAGAAGTGGTGCCCGCCTCGTTTTAGTTCGACCTATTTCCGTCCTCTTTTGGAGTTTCGCGTGTGCGGTATCGACTTCTAACACTTAGAAGGATGAAACCGACATGAGGAAACCCAAAATGGATTCCTATATGACCTTTCCAAGCCTTAGGGTGGCCTTCTGCACAATTCGCACTCCTGCGCGCACCAGCTTCGTAATTCGGAGAGTCGACGTGTCCGATCTCCGCAATTCGCATTGCCTGCACCGTTATTTGCCGAGGGCTCGAGTAAACCACTTGTGACGATCGATCGCGGGTCAATATTTGGTGAAATTTGAATTTCGACG